GGTCCCTGGGTTCAGAGCAGGCCCTGGCCCGAGCCTCTCGCTCGTCAGCGGAGCTGAGCCCCGCAGGCGGCTGGACAAACGAGCACTTTTGATTAACCCGGCGCTGGGGCCCTCCCCTGACACGGGGCTGCCGCACAACCAAAGCATCAGCTTCCTCATACTCAACTCTGCCCTCTTATATCAGGGCCTATCTTCGTCTCTGTTGATGAACCCTGTTCTTATCATGGTCCAGCTGCTTCCCTGGCTGCTGCTATTGGTTATTTATTCCCTGCTGCAGCCAACACCACAGCAGTCAGGGAGTTTGAGGGAAAAAGACTGGCTGCAGGCATTTACTGCTTTACCAAGACTTATCCCCCAACTCTAAACCGTCCAGGAATTACTCTCAGCCAAACACCTGGGCTCCCTGTCTAGTCGATAGAGGTGGAAGGAGGAGAAGGTGACTTGTCCTTGCAGGTCTGAGACAGCCTTCAACAGTGCTGAGCCCACAGGGCACCCAGGCTCCAAATGTTGTCAATCACATCCTGGGCTGCATCACAAGCAGCGTGGCCAGCAGGTCAAGGGAGGTGATTCTCCCACTCCACTCTAGTGAGACCCCACCTGCAGTGCTGCATCCAGCTCTGAGGCCCTCAGCACAAGAAAGACATGAACCTGTTGGAGTGGGTCCAGAGGAGGGCCACAAAAATGATCAGGTGGCTGGAGCACCTCCGCTATGAAGAAAGGCTGAGAGAGTTGGGGTTGTTCAGCCTGGAGAAGAGAAGGCTACAGTGAGACCTTTTTGCAGCCTTTCGATATATAAAGACAGCAAAAGGCTTTTTACCAAGACGTGTAGTGACAGGACAAGGGGCAACAGTTTTAAACTGAAAGAGAGTCGATTTAGATTGGATATAAGAATGGTTTGGATTTGTTTGTGAAAGCCGTTTTTTTATAGCAGTTTGCCTTCAGTCTGTGTTTACTCCTAGGGCATCTACAATCTCAGCGGTCTGGGCAGTGACATTGCTGTGAAGCAGAAAGGGGTAGAGGACACTGTGGTCATTAGGTCTCATTTCTCTTGGGTCAACTTCAGACACCCCTGCAACTCCCTGCGGCGAGGCACAGACAGTGCAAGTGGTAGCCAGCTGCCACTGCACAGGCACAGGCACAGGCAGGATGGAAGTGGAAATTAATGGCCCATGCAGGTGTGATGTTCATACAAGACCTCCTTTCGCAGGATCTTATTATTTAACCACCACCTATGGGGCCCTGGAGCACATCAAGAACTACGACAAAATCACCGTCACACGGCAGCTGAGCATGGAGGTGCAGGACTCCATTCACCGCTGGGAGCGACGGAGGACGCTGAACAAGGCCCGGGCTTCCCGCTCATCAGTGCAGGTAACTGGCATTATTTCAAGGCAAAAAGCCTAGAAGATGAACATGCTCTCTCATACATACTAATTTTAATATGATAATTATTTTAAAACAAAATTAAGAGTGCATATGGTGCAAGATTTGCAAATCTCAAGAAAAACCCTCATTTGAAATATATATTAGTTTTAAAATGCATTTTGAAGTCTTGAATTACCCTCATAACTATATAATTTTAAATATGACTGCAAAGTGATTTCATTGTTCTTTCTCCAAGGAGGCATGCTAGGAGCCTTCGAACATGCAGAGCTGTGGTGGGGAGGCAGGGAGCCACTCTGCTCACAGGCCTTAGGGCCTGGGGAAGTCCTGGGCTAATCTGAGGAGATGTGAGCAGGCTACACAGGGGCAGTTCCTGGGTGGTATATAGCTGTAGGAGGACCTGAAACATCCCAAGGGCCAGTCAGACAAGCATCTTCCGGAGCCTGGCTTCTCCTGTCCAGCAGCAGGGCAGACCCAACAATAGCTGGCTAGCTTTGAAGCCCATCCTGTGTATGGCCCAGTGAAGACCTGCCCATGCACCAGTGGGAGAGGGTACCAGGAGGGACGGGTGCTCTGGGCCTCCAGCCATGGTTAGGCTGGGTGCAGGACCTGTGATCAGATTGTCACCCACAGGGAGGCAGCAAAGGCCGCATCTCAGGTTCTGTAAAGTCTTCACAGTGCAAAATTGAAAATTGTGAATGCCAAGGAGAAAGCCAGGGGAAAGTCTCATGAGGGGTAGACACAGTCCATGTAGTCCTGTGAAAGCATGGAGTTTAATATGCTTCCCATATTGCGGCCAAAACAGTCCTTGATAATCTCAGAGCATTTACCTGATGAAGGGTCTAGAGAACAAGTCTTAGGAGGAGCGGCTGAAGGACCTTGGGTTGTTTGGTCTGGAGAAGAGGAGGCTGAGGGGAGACCTTATCACTCTCTACAACTGCCTGAATGGAGGTTGTAGTGAGGTGGGGGTCGGTCTCTTCTCCCAGGTAACAAGCGATAGGACAAGAGGAAATGGCCTCAAGTTGTGCCAGGGGAGGTTTAGATTGGACATTAGGAAAAATTTCTTTACCAAAAGAGTGGTCAAACATTGGAACAGGCCGACAAGGGAAGTGGTGGAGTCGCCATCCCTGGAGGTGTTAAAAAAAAATGTGTTGATGTAGCACTTGTAGATATGGCTTAGTGGGCATGGTGGTGTTAGGTAGATGGTTGGACTTGATGAACATACAGGTCTATTCCAGCCTAATGATTCTGTGAATCTAGCATGTGAATGGTAGCTGAGACACACCAAATATCCATCCAGCCACAAGTGCTGCTCTGGCAGTAGCTCATAGTGAATACCTAGCATGGAGCATAATAGCTGTGCAAGCAAATGCCACATCGCCCCAGAAGATTCCCACCACCTCCAGGAGGGTAAGGGCTGTTTTCCATTCCTTTGAATGAGGGGTAACACCAGAGATGTGATCCCATCCTGGTGGAGGTAAACAGCTTGCTGAGGTGTTCAGCATGCCCCTGTACACCCCTCTGGCTGCCTTACTCATCTGCAGTGATACTCCATAAATGCAGTTTGGAAATCCATGGTCCAAATATTTGGCAAATCTCACTTCTGCTGTGGAACCTGAATATTTTCTCACCAAAAAGGATGGGAATTTTTTTAAACTTCGTAGGTACAAATTAAACACACAGGTTCCACTATGGCCAAAGGTTCTTTAGATTCTGTTCCTCATGAGTTCGGCAAGGGGAAAGTCATCCCAACAGTTGTTACTGCCTGCAACAGGATACAAGTACATCAGCCTTCTCAGCATAAGTTCTGCTGCTGTTTCCTTACTGGAAGGAAGGAAGGATGGAAGGAAGTTGGGAGGACATACTCGCAAGGTGCAGTTTGGGTGACGGTGGAGTTACAAGCATCACCACACTGCCAGCCCTTCCCTATTTCTGTGAGACAAGGATCTCTGAGTTTTTTCGTTTGTTATTCTGGTCTGTTACTTCTTTGCATCCTATTTCTTCAGGAGCTGTAGAAAGGTGTGAGAAGGAACTGTTGCAGACTGCTCACTAAGGATATACACCCAAATCAGAAAAAAGCTTTCACTTATGTGTCTTTACAGGGCTAATTATTTCATTAAGTGTTTGTTGGTTTAAGTAATGATTCAGAGCTTATTCATCAGAGGGGAGAAAGGAGAGAATAACTAGGGCACTGGAGAATGATTAGAGGATATTTGGGAACATTTATGAGCTCTAAACAGCAAAAGCTTTGGGGCTGAATTCTACCTCCTTTGGTCCTAAGTCACTGTGTTAACTGCAAGATCTGTCCTCGTGTTTCTCTTCAGGATTTCATCTCTGTCTCCTTTCTGGAAATCGGTGCTCAGTCAAGGACACTTGCTTCCCGGAATGACACCACAGCTGAGCAGCTGAGCCAGCAGTGTGCTGAAAAGTTTGAAGTCTCCCATCCCAAGGACTACGGACTCTTTGTTTATGTTGATGACCAGTGGCTGCAGCTGGACAAAGATGCCCTTCCTCACCATATCAAAGCCTCCCTGCTGAAGAGTGAAACCAAGAAAGATTTCCATTTTATTTATAAACCCATAGACCATAAAACCTCACCAGTTCCAATTGTCAAAGAGTCAGACTTTGCCTAGGGGCCATGCTGCTCTTTTGTTGTGCTTGCTGTCATCCTGGAAGGGCTGGATTGTTTATGTCGTGAGATCCTTTGGTATCTGCAGACCTCAGAAGGTCTCTGGAGCATGGCCTTCGACACAGACCAGATGTGCTAATTGTAGATGCTGTCTGAATACAGGGCATTTCTCAGTAGAGTTCATTTGCAGAAATAAAGCAGCATTCAGGAGAACATTCATCCTCTGGAAAACTTGAAGTATCAAACCTCAGAACTTCCTGCTGGCAACCAGCCGACATTGCAGAATGTAAATGGACAGTGGAGAAAATCCAGAGATATTGCAGAAAAGTGGACATTTACTCCATAATAAATTATGGCAGGTGTGAATCACCTCTGTGCACAAGGCCTGTGAAAGGTCTGCACACGCCTCAGTGTGTTTGGAGGTAAGACTGCATTTATGCCTTACAGTATCTCTTCACCCAGTTTGAATAAACTGAGTCTTGTCTGATGTATTCAGTGGAATAGGGTTGCCACCTGTAGCAGAACTCCATCTCTATTGCTGTCTACAACATGTCGTTGCCTTTGAAATCCATGTGATTACAGACCATGCAAGATGATCCTGTACATTCACTGAGGATAGATATTCTGCCATCTATTTGTCGCTGAAATCAGGTAGCATAGGCATTTTCATCAATGCATTTTTCTTAAAGATTGGAAGTCTTCACCATCAGTTTTACATGTACAGCAGTTTTAATCACATCTGTTGTATGATAGTGTCTGGTTAATTATATATTTATTTCCGTGTGTGGTATGGTGCAATTGTTTTAAAATAAGCCTTTGTAAAGAATGTAATAATTTTCCTGGTGTAGCAAACCAGATTAAAATTTGAAAGTCAAAAAGACCTAGAATTACATACATGTCCCTTTTTATCCAGATGTCATTTTCTCTAGTGTTTTCGTATCTACAAGTCCCACTAGGTTATTACTTTTATAAATTCAGGCTGTTGCAGACAGAACTTGCTAATTCTCCTCTCTACCTGTGCTTTCAGTCATTCAGTCATTGCAGACTTAAATTTCCCTGCAAACCTAAATTCCCACTGAATAAATTGAACCAATGCAAAAATGTATTTCATGAAATTTGAAAACAGTTTTCCAGGACTGGATAATGGAAGTGGGAGCCTTAATTGCAAGACAGATCCATGTCTTCTGGATGCCTTCATTCAGGCAAGATTCCCACTGAGAATACAAGATACTGGATTGTCTGCATGCAGGAGGCAAGCGACCTCCACTGCAGCAACAGAAACTTGGAATCAGGCCTAGCAAAGCTCTGATTAGAAAGAAAGGGTGTTTTCCTGTGGGTTTTGCTCAAAGCTGCTATTGTTTCATCCCAGTAACATTCAAAAAAGAATTGGGACACGTTGGGTCAGGTTGCCTACGGTCCTTGCCTTACTCCTGAAGCTCCAAAGGTAAAATGGTATTGCATGTAGCTGGTCACTCTCCTGGTCTCTGGGACATGAAATGTCTGTGTCTATGTGCCCCTGCTGTAGTGTGCTCTGGCCAAATCTGCATACAGATAGAAAACCAGTGCTGTGCATCTACCAGCTTGGGCTGCATGCATGTCTTGTCAGGAAGGGGTAGCAACCAAGATGAGGAACAGTGAATAATAGCAATCTTGTTTTTGAGGACATCATGTGCAGAGCAGTGTGTGACAACGGCGCTGAGCTGACTCCATGGTTATTTCTGCTCATGTGCAGCTGTCAGCACCTCTGCCTTGCCTCTGGGCAGCATGCCCGCAGGATGCTGGAGCTGAACGCCTCCCTCGTGCTGCCATCAGCCCCTTGCAGGGCTCCTGCTGGGAGCCTGCACTGCTCTCAGGGTGGCACCTGGGGTGCCAAGACCAAGCCTGAGATACAGGTTTCCAGTACCCATCTGACAGAGATGCTGCTCTCAGGGCCCCGAGGGCACTCACAGCTGTTGCTGCCTGCGGTGCCTCCCCATGGCTACCCCACCCAGCCCATGGCCCAGGACCCCATTTCTGCCTCCCGGGGCTGTCAGCCCCTGCCACAGTGATGCTGCAGCAGGACTGGTCTCCAGCTCCCTGCAGCTGTGTCCCAGCCTGGCCTCAGCCTGCCCCCATCCCCAGGGAGGTGCCTGCTGCCCAGGACTGGGGCTGTCCCTGGTGCTCCCCACTGTCCCGCTCCTGGCTGTAGCAGTGGGACAGGCCCCCAGGGAGCCCCCATGGCCCTGGGAGCTGCTGGCCTCTCTGCCCCAACAGCAGCTTCCCCATGTCTATCCCGCAGGCTGCAGCAAGGACATCAGCTCTTGCCCTTCTGCTGCCCTGCCCTGGATGTTGTGTGCTGATGGCTCGGCAGCAGGCCCTCGCTGGGGCTGGGTACAGGGTCCCCTGGGCGCTCCAGCTGTGAGGCAACATGTCCTCACGCTGCCCAGCTCCTCCACCCGCTACCATCCCTGCGTGCTGGGTTAAGCTCATGGCAATTTCCCCCTCTGGTGGAAACACAGCCAGTAAATCCCTGACACGCAGCACAGAGAGGCTGTGGTCTTTCCACCATAGGTATCATCACTGATGTCCCTATGTCCTGAGGGCTGACCTGCTCCATGTTAGCCATACTGAGGATGACCTTGACTGTCACCTCTGGAGCTGTGGCAGCTGGAGGGTCCAACCTCTGGGCAGCATCACTTACAAACCTTCCTTTTTTTCTCAAACCTAACCTCCTACACCCCCCCCCCCCACCCTCTCCAAATCCTCTGTTTTGTATCCTCTCTCCCAAAGGAGACACCCTGCTCCCTCCTCCCATACCATGGGCCCAGCCTAGGTCTCTGGCCCATCTCCCACCGGCCTCCTCACCCCTCTTGGTAGGACTCCAAGCCATGTACCCACCCGACCTCCCACCACTTGTGCACAGCTATTGCACTGCACAGGGTCCCTGTACAGTGGGACTGGGGGTCCCCAGCTCGAGACCCAGAGATGGGGGGGGTGGGGTGGTGTGTCTGACCAGCAGCTTAGTTCTGCCGTGCCAGCTGCAAGTTATTTTAAACCCTGGGAGCAAAGATGTGTATGTCTGCCAAAGTCCTTGGCCTGATCAGGTTATCTTTATACTGTAACATTCACAGTTAATGAGCCTAAAGTAATCTGATGGGGATGAGGCTAAAGTAGAAACATGCAAGGAAGAAAGCTTGGACTGATCTTCCGCTGGATATTTCCGGAGAGCAACCGGACTTTGCACCGGCTGTGGTTGAGCAACAGATTGTTTGCACCTCGCAGCGTCCCAGCATGTCTGAGTCAGCAGCTGGACCTCAGCACAAGGGGGAACTACGGATTATACAGCTGGTCAGTGGAGCCCATGGAAACTGCGACAGTGCAGTCCAAATGGGCTCAGACTAAAATCTACCAAAGCTTAGTCCCAAAAATCAGACCTGCAGATCCCAGTTTGCAAAATGCAAGGAGTGTCAGCTTAATTTCTGTGGGCTTTTACAAAGGCTCTCAAATTGCATGTGCAACATTTCCCTCTGGCATAACAACTGCAGAGCTCTGATTTGATTTACAAAGGTTGCCATGGCTCTCTCAAATGATTATTGACAGTAACGCGAGTTCCTGTGCCTGACTGTGAGCTGCCTGCAAAGAAAGCCCTGTGCTGGGGCTTGATGCAGAGTGGGGCTTGCTCAGAGGCTGTGGGGCACCTGGCCTGTTTGGGGACAGTATTTAAACCACCAGCTACAACTTTGCTGAACATAGATATCTGGGGTACAGGGGTGACCCAGCTCCTCCAGGGCCCAACCACAACTGGCCCTTGTCAGGGAACACAAGTTGGGAGATGACCGGAATGACGGGATCCTGGAGGACCCGGGACAGAGGCAGCTGCCGCCTCTCCAAGCTCACAGCTCAGCGGTGGGACTCAGGCTCTGCCTGCACAAGGGTCTTGCAGAAACAGCCTGTCTGGATCAAATGTGCTGTTGTTTTGGTGACCCTGGCAAAGCTCTGAGTCCCCAGCATGGAGGCTGCTGGAGCCGTTCAGCATGTCCCTCCCTCTGGACCCTGGTGCTCAGGATCCTGCACTGCTTTGGGCTGCTATCTGACATTTCAGGGGGTGAGGAAAAAAAAATCAAATGTGGGAATGAAATGGGCATTTTTAAATTCTCCATGGGATTTTATTCATTAGCTTTGCCATGGGTTCTCCTCATGCTGCAGCCCAGGCAAGGAGGAAGCAGTTCAATCTGGTGATCTGCAGCCTCCCCTGGTTAGTCAAGATGGTCATGCCATGACTCACGCTCCAGCCCTCACATGAGCTATCAGCAGACAGGAGTGTTTCAGGAGACTTTGACCAAGAAGGTTGTGCAATCCAGCCAAGGCCTCCTCAAATACTCGCTTGCAGAGAAACATTGTGCAACAATCACTCATTTACTCACAAGGAAAGGATCCCAGTGTGAGAGAGAGGAAGAGGGAGACCTGCTGAATGCCATGACTCACGCTCCAGCCCTCACATGAGCTATCAGCAGACAGGAGTGTTTCAGGAGACTTTGACCAAGAAGGTTGTGCAATCCAGCCAAGGCCTCCTCAAATACTCGCTTGCAGAGAAACATTGTGCAACAATCACTCATTTACTCACAAGGAAAGGATCCCAGTGTGAGAGAGAGGAAGAGGGAGACCTGCTGAAACAAACAACAAAAAAACCAATGTGGCCACTTCATGCACAGTGCTGACAACACCACTTTGCACCCAATCTGTCAATAATTCACTGAAATAATTACACCAGCGGGTCATGTAAAACCAAAAATAACAGCCACTGAAATCAAAGGTAGTTTTCCTGC